CCGCTCAGACTGAAGCACATGCAAAGCCAACGTGCAGCCACCCAACCTGAGCGCAAGCGACAGAGCAACTCAAGTCGCTGACTTAATCCCTCCGTTAGGCATGGACGCCATGGGGCATCCCTAAACTCGAACACACCATCTTAACCTGCCCCCATCGACAAGTTGAACGCTTCTACGCTGCCATGGTGGCGCGAGAGTTTGACGGCTTTGACGATGGCTACGGCGATTATGATGGTGGCTCTGAGGAGGCATGCTGCGCGACCATTTAGTTTAGTTTGCGAGTGGCACTTGACACTTGTGTCACGTTTGAGGGAGGCAGGAAGCTAGCACGCAATCATAGGTGTCCTCGATGGCACAGCCTCTAGTATGCAACCTCGGAAATACCGAGTTCCAGATCTTGGCACAGGAGAATCCGGCCGAGGAAGATGGCAAGCCTATGTTTGGCAGCCTTGTCGGCGAAGCCGGGGAGACACTTGCCATATCTGGCGGTGCTGACAAAGGCATGCATGATAAGAGCCGCTTGCGGCTCTCAAGAAGCAGTCCTGACTCCTGATCGTGCAAGGCCCACTGACTCACCCATCTCACCCGCATCAGATTGCATGTTACGCATGTGTGCTTACGCGCGGACACCTACACTGATGTCGCTGAGGATGCTCATGGAGGATGAGGCGAAGAATCAGCGGCAGGCCACCAGCGGCCTGCGCGCCCGCAGCATGCCACAGCAAGGGTGTCAAAACGTAGTGCAGGAATTGCATGTTTAGGGTTTAGGGTTTAGGGTTCAGTATTTCTGTGGTGATTCGCAGTCCAGTGTTTGCCATGGTATCAGACGCGGACCACAATAAGCTGTGTTCATGCATTGGTTATGCCATAAGAAAAGCGGCAGTTCTCAAAGTACCTTCTGATGTGAAGACCCACCTCAAGGCGGCTATGAACATGCTCCGTCAAGTCAGGAATGAACAGTTACAGGACTTCAGCTATGAGACACTCCACGCTTCTGGCATCCCAGATGCCCCTTTCACCGCTACACTCAATCTTGCAGAGCTTCTTTTTCCACATGATGGGGAACCCGAACAAGCTCGGGCGGAAAGGTGTGACTCTACAGCAGGTGATTCCAACATACAAGAACCTGCCGTGCTGAAGCGCTTGCGCGAGACTGCTAGTGTTCAGGATACTGATGTTATGGACACAGGGGAGCCCAACCAACAAGAACGAGACACCCATGAGATCAGATCTGGCGATTCTTGCGAACCAAACGCTTTGCCTTGTCCCTCCTTGCGGGATGATCCAGAAGGTTTCGTGCGACATTTTGTTGCGCAGGCGACGAGTGATGCGGAGGTGGTAAATGGGTTGCAAGTGATATTGTCCGATCTCCAACGCGAGCACAGGGAGGCCCCTCGTGGTGAGAGACGCTCGTGGCTCATTCGTTTGTGCGTGATAGTTCGTGAGGAGGTTCGCAAACATGGCGGAACAATCAGCTCGAGAACAGTTGTCAGTCAGTAAGTTCGTTCTGTGTCTGGCCTTGTTCGGAGAACAGGTGCGACACATCCAGGCGAGGATTCACGCAAGCCTGCTGCAAAAGGGTTGCATGGTGTTGTTTTCTTCAAACTGTCACGAGGCTTTTGAGTGCCATCTTTCTTTCAGCCTGGAAAGACCAGGTTGTATCTACTTACCGTAAAACCAGATGCCGGTGCAGCCGGAGAGTAGTTACTCCACGTTGGTTCCTGCTGTCGGCGGGCTGCAATTTGAGATCAACTGGCTGCAACAAGGGTGCGTGACAAGCGCTGTCCTGCTGATGTAAGGTCCTCAGGTGAGAGTGCCAGTAACACAAGACATTCGTTGAGAGAACCTGAGGAATCAACTGCCAAAGTCAGGAGAAGATGAACTTGGGATCCGCAAATTCTTGCCGCAAGACCTGACGCCCCGTAATTCCGTATGCAGGTGGAGCACAAAACAAACCAGAGTCTGGCTGTCCCAAATCCGCCCCTGTGCATGTGCGATACAAAAATGCCAGTTGCGATTCATCTCTTTTGCAGGTTGGTGCTTGTAGCTTTTGGTAAGGTTTCAAGTGGCCTAGATAGGGTTATAAGTATAGTTACCATACTTGTAACCCCACTTCTGACTACCCATGTACCTCCAAGTAGTGTGTCAGCCCGCAGCCAGCAGTCAAGCCCGGTACTGGTAGCTGTTGCACTACTCGACGGCAGGCTCGCCGCAACCTGCGCATTCGGGGCCTGCTGAAGGGCCGGCGTGACTCTACCATAGAGGCAGGTTTTCTTCAAGAGGGTTGTTGCCCGCCTACGCTACAAAATGACCCTGCCACTGCATGAGGTTGAGGAGGTTGAACAATCAATGCCGGAGTGCCCGTTACAACATGGATGCCTCAATCTTCACAAAATTCATCACCTATGCCAAGCCCCAAATCTGACACCCTTCGGCGCCTAGCGAGGAAATACTGAGACCCGACACTTTGGGCGAAGCTTCTTGGCTCTGTGGCCTTGGGTGCCTGATTTACGATACGGCTCTTGAGAGCAATGGGTTGTTGAACTTCAGGTGCCCGTTTTTCGGGGTAGCTTGCTGGGGAAGTCATGCGCAGCCAGGAAGATCGAAGCATCTCCCGCTGAATGGGAAGTTATAACATTCTACCAACACCCACAGCTCCCGAGATCTTCCAAGCCCCGCTTAACAAAGCTTCTTGCCTTGATATTCGCATCAGGCCATGGCGGTTGCCAGCCAACAAGTCTTTCACCCATGCCTGAAAACACGATTACGTAAATGGACCGATCGTTATCCCGCACTTGTGGCAGTGGTGAGGAACCCAAGCTGTCGACTTGTACTAGACAATCAAGAGTGCGCAACGAGCGACGCACTTAGAAAATGGTTCACTGCATGTCGCGACGGTCCAGCCAAGGTAGCAACCATCACTGATAAGCTGGAGCCTAAGCCAGCCAAGGCTGAGGACAATATCGGCAGGGTCTTTTGAAGTTTGGGGCTTGCTGGGGTCTGTTCACGTGCGTGCGTGCCTCTGACTTCTCGATTGGGACGGAGATACTTGTACCTGTTTACCGGGATAGTGTGTGCATGTGCGCGCGCAAGAACAAAGTAGGTCAATCGAGCTGCGTCCTACACTTGCTCTCTGGCATTGCCACGTGCCTGTGAGATGCGCGGGAATCGCAAGGGACGCTTAAACCGTGAGCGTCGAAAGCCTGATAGTACCTGACTACTGCTGCATTCCGTCAGTCAGTAAGCAGAGCGCGTGGATGATAGTTGAGGTTGTGTTACAGAAGTGAACCTACCAACCGAAGCTTTGACTGCCATGTTGGCGCAGAGAACAACCTGTGTCGCTCTCACCGTTACAGGTTCTGCAGAGCATGGAAGTGCTCACAGGTCCACGCATGAAAAGTCCTTGCCCTCTGGGCCACCAAAGTCAATCAACAAGTCATCGCAGCAAGCCAACTTGCATCCTCCTCCGCCCCGACACGCTGCGCCCAGCTACCTGGCAGCCTGGTTTCATTCCGCGGCCGATTTGCTTAATGATGGTCCCTGTCTGGGTGCTCCATATGGAGTTGCGCGCTCTGGAGGCTTCTTGTCGCCCCACTTGCCCTACTTGGGGGGGGGGGCAGAGGGGGGATGCGATACAACCTGATTACATATCTGCAGATTCTCTACAGCATGTACCTCCAAAGCGTTGACATAGGAAGCGTGGACATGGACGCAGGGCCAGTGGGTCAATGTGGGGCAATGTGAGGCAAGAGCAAGCGGAGCACGCAGCGGCAAGCGGGCGCAACGATTTACGGCCCCCCCCCCCCCCCCCGACACCCTCAGCACTTCAAACCCTTGTCAAGCGCAAAGCAGGACGAAGTTTCGGAGCTGCCACCATGGCTGGTCTATCGCGACGAGCCCTCGGAGGTTAGCCTGCGCCTGCACGAGGTCGGAGACTCTGCTGTTCTTGCGTTGCGTGAAAGTCATGAACGCGCTGAGGCATGCTAAGGTCTTGAGACCAAAGCTTCGAATTCTTTTCGTTCTTGAACTCTTCGTTGTTATAAGTTCAATCGGAACACAGAGCCTTGCAACAGGAGCTCCTAGACTTTGCTGCCTTTATGCGGCCGACGATCATTGAATCCGTGTCCTGGATGTCTTTGCTCATCCTGTGCTGGCCTTGAGGTTGTGGTCGAGATCTTGTTGTCCTATGGTGAAAGCACTAGTGGGAATTCAGTCTCGGCTTGAGGCTTGAGGCGTTAATTCTTGTGGGTTGCTAGCTGTTCGATTATGAGAAACTTGCTAGAACGCGAGGTAAGTCCGTAAGCAGGTAGATTGCAAGCATGCCTTGCAATGTAGAAATCATCTTCTAGCTGGAGCCTTCAAGAACCCTGCTGTTTTCATCCTTGAGCCTTGAAAGCAGGCACAAACCCTAAACCCCTGAAACGTTCGAGGATCGACTGATCCCAATTTCCCTCCAAGAACATAGGATTCAGACCCTGCCTGTGGTTCAGCCAGCTATGCGGGAGCGAACAAACATCCTAAACCCTAAACCCTAAGCCCTAAATAACCCTAAATTAAACCTTAAGCCCTAAACCCCGAGTTGAGGCGGCGCGAGATGCCTGGACCTACACGCTACAGCAGGCAGCGGAGTCCTTGCCCCCGGGCCAGCAAATCAAAAGGGGCCCATGGGGGGACCGAATGAACCCTAAAATTGGGGTCATAGTATCTATACTACTATAATTCCCATTAAGGTATATAATTCCGTATACTACTATACTCCCCATTAAGGTATATAATGTCCATTATATACAATGTCCTATACTACTATAATTCCCATTAAGGAATGTACTTTAAACCCTTTCAGGGTTCATTTCCACAAGGGGCTGGAGAGCATGTGCCACAGTACGAGGGTTATGATGGCGCGTGATGGTCAGGTATCGTCCGATTGCCTTATTGTGAAAGGTTCGCACCGATCGCCGATGGAGGGACAGGGTAAGGAATGATGGTGAAGTTCATTCTCGATGCGTGCAACCCTCACTGCTGCTCTTGCCTGTGGTTCCGTAGGCATCGTGGCGTCATTTTCTGCCGCGACTGTGGCAGAGAATTTCCTGTCAGGTTCCCCGCCCCTGTCCGACTAAGCCTCTGTGATTGCACTTTTGTCAAGTTATAGAACCCTAAACCCTAAACCCTAAACCCTAAACCCTAAACCCTAGCGACGTAGTGGCTTCTGGTCCACTCTGTGCCGATAAGGTGGCCCCAAGCACGCGTGCACGTCTTTGGCTCCACTGCTACCAAGCTGAACTTGCCCAACGCCGACGTGGACGTGGCCATCGTCAATGTTGAAGGCGCGTTGCCTCATGCAGGCAACGACTTGGAGGTTTATGGTTGCTTACAAGTGGGGTTATGCGTGCCCGAAGTAAGGTGAGAACCATATAGTTGCCCTACCTTTCCTACTTATAGGTACCCATGAACCTGAAACCCTAAACCCACTAGGCATGCAAGGCACGTCCTTTGGCTTTCCAAGGCTTCAGAGCCACCACCGCCATGAAGAAGCTGGCCGAGCTCCTCTTGGAACGAGAGGAGGTCAGTAAGATTGAGATCATCCAGCACCTCGGGTTGTACAAAGGGGGTCCTTTGATAATAAGAACCTACAAAAAGGGATAGGTTTTGGGTTCTATAAGAGTAGTGTTTAGGGATGAGAAGAGCCTTCAAAAAAAGTAGGTTTTGGGTTCTACAAGGACAGTGTTTAGGGTTCCTGGAAGTTACTGTTCATGTGACCTCTCCTGAACCGACGTTGCAGTAAAGATTGCCGGCCCCATGCACATCATCTTCGTAATGGCCACCTGCAGGTGTTCCAGTGCGAGTTGCGTCGGCATGGACCGTGACGTGTTAATTGTAAACGCTTGCGCACGCCACCTCGGCAGCCGGGCCGGCCAGGACAGGAAAGGAGGAAAGAGGGTTTCGCAAAAAAGGGGAAGGGCAGCGGGGTCAAGGGGGGGGTGGGGGGGCTTCTGGTTTGGTTCAAGGGGGGGGGTGGGGGGGGTGGGGGGGATGGGGTGTGTGTGAGGTGGTGGGGGAGAAGGAAAAAGTGGTGAAATAGGTGGGGGGGGGTGGGGGGGGGGGGGGGTGGCGGGGGTGGGGGGGGGGGGGGGTGGGGGGGAGGTGGGGGGGTGGGGGGTGGGCAGAAGTGGGGGTTTTGAGGCACCTGTAGGAGCAACCAACAAACGGGACCCTTGACAGCATCGGTTTGCAGCTCCTCCAAGCGATTGGGGGTGGGTGGCGTCAGAAAAAATTTTGCATAGGAGGCCCGATCCGTATCTGCTTGTTCCAGACGCTTCTCGGCAGGAAGCCGAGGCGAATTTCAGATCAGTCGAGCATATCTGACCCTGCTGAGACAGAGGGGTTAGACTTAGACTTAAGTGGCATTTTGTGCAAAGTGCTTGACCCACGACAGCCAGAAGGCAGGTTCCTGTTAGTAAATTCCCCTTTCATGGGACTCTTGTCCCATCCATTCAACGGACCTTTTAAAGTGTGAGTCAGTTTCTATCGTTTTCCTCAAATCCACAGAAGGTCTGCGAAGGTCCCCGTGATGAAGGTCCAGCACCGAGACGTGGCTGCGTTGTAGGGTCCAGCAAATGGCTTGCGAGCTCTGCTGCGCTCAAGAACCCATGGGCGAGTTAAGGGAACTCACGTTCGACCCTAAGCCCTGCAGTCCTTGCGAAGGTTGGCGTGTGCCAGAGAGTCGAAACTGAGGAAATACGGGGCTGATGGCCGACATCGTCGTCAATCGGACAGATGGCCTTGACACCGCACAGTTCATCAATGCACCTCGGGAATGACACAGTAGTCTTGTGTTAGGTTACGACACAAGCACCATTCGGCACGGTCGAATGCCCGTGCAAATCTGAGCATTTGAACCAACATGTTGTCCGACATGTTGTGGTCTGAGTCGGTCTGTATGTGGTTTACGGTATTATTTGTGTCTTATTGGGGTCCTTAGTATAAGGGGACCCCCCCCCCCCCCCCCCCCCCATGTCAGTCTCCATGTGCTGAGGAGCAAATGCGGCTGTTTCCGGCGCTGTCGCCGTTGGTGCTGTTCTTGAAGCTGTTTCTTTCACAGAGAAACCTTCATGAAACGTTCATGGGCGGGATGGGCTCCTACGTGCTCGTTTGCGTGCCTGGGCCTGATTGCATGTCAGATTTTTCCTAATCTCGATTTTACGGATAAGGCAAGGCCCATTGCTCGTTGCTTGGCAGGTGGTGCTGTCGTTTCTGCAACACCACAAGTCTGCTCAGAGCGCCCATCTGCATTCTGTGACCTCCCTGGGCAACTTGCTGCTGGACTTCTTCAGGCCGGATGGGGAGCAAATTCCCCACAAGGCTCAGATAGCCTCCGGGCTGCCCTAAACCCTACTGGTAGTTCATTCTTAAGGGATGTTTAGGGACCGTGCTGCAAACAAGGACGCATACACCCTAAGCATCCTTAAGGCAGAGTGGGTGGCAAAAAAGGCATGCTTTTAAGGTGCTGGTTGGGGGGGGGGGGGTGCTGGTAATTTAAAGGGTAGATAGGAGTCAGGACATGTGGTTCCGGAGCCATCCCTCATGCTTTGAACTCCCAACCTGGACCCCTCAACTCTGCGAGGGGTGAGGTTGCTGGGCAGCTGGCGCAGGGAAGCACACACAATACTCACCAATGAGCGACTCCTGGGAGGTTAGTATCACAGTGAAGATTTGTTGCTTGCACCCTAAACCCTAAACCCTAAGGCCTTCTTATGGGGCCCAGCAGGGAGCCCTGCGACATCCAACGTCCCACAAGCCACAAGCAGTCCCCCAGCCTTGAGGAGGCTTAAAGGGCTAGGGTTTAGGGTTTAGGGTTTAGGGTTTCGGGTATACCATAGGGCAGCACAGCCATGGGCAGTATGCAGTGGAATCTGGCCAGCTCTGGCCGAAGTTCGCCCGCAGTAAGCAGTTCCCACAACCGGACGTTTTTGCGTCCACCACCTGTATCACAAGTCATGTCCTGTGTGTTTAATTTTGGAGAGGCGGCCTTACTCCAACTTGTTGAGCCACCCCATCGAAGACCCACACGCAAACCCCAATCCGGAGGACTCACCTTGCACAGCACCCCCCATGCAAACCCTGAGTTTTGAAGGTACTACGGGCAAGAGTTCCGCTACGCTGCGACAGGGATCTCGGTTCGTGAGGGTGGCTCCCTATTCGACCGCGCCAAACGAGGTGAGGGTGGCGCTGTGGTCTGGAGTCGATGTGTAGGTTTCATAGGGCGTATAGCTGTGTGCATCATGTAGCAATGTAGCTCTATAAACTTAGTTGCACTTGTAGAGTGGGTAACCTTTTTCCTTTTTGGGGCCTTAGAATCCCAAAGGTTAACCTTTAGTTCCCCTAGGAACCGGACAACTAGGTAAAGATCCGTGGAGCGAATGTTGAGCTTCGCAGTTTGCAGATTGGGGGCGTGCAGTGTGATAGTGTGGGAGATGAAACGTTGCCATGGCTTTGGGCTTTAAGCTTCAAGCTGCTGCTGACCAACCAAGTTTGGATGCGCAATGTGGACTGTATAGTTCTAAATATAGATAGATAAATATCTCTGTATATATATATATATGCGTGTGTGTATACATAAACATCAACTAAACAAATACAAATCTACAGTATACATATACTTATATATATATATATATGGCAGCTAAACCCTAAAACGTAAACCCTGAGCCCTCAACCCAATGCGTGCATCTGGGAGGTTGGAGTGCTACAACGCGATCTGGGCAGGCGACGCTATGTCTAGAGCCACGCGGACGGATTTGTGTCCAGATAACCTTGAGAATTTGCAACTCTCTGAATTCTAGCCCGGTACACCTATCGAGAGAGAGCAACCCTTAACGAACCCTAAATCGCCTTGAATAATCTTAAGTCTTATGAAGGTTTCGCAGAAATCAGACTCCACCAGTCTCCATGGCTTGACGCACCTGCTCCACGTAAATGATGTAAACAAAGAAAACGGTTCATAGTTGTCAGGCACGGCCTGTTTAGATTTGCAATGTTCACCTCACCTGACCCCGGAAGCTTGGACCTCAGAAGCCAAAAGCTCTGTGAGGCGTGTGAGGGTTCCCAAAAAACCCACCAGCCATGCGAATTTGGCCCATGGAGTCACCAGACGTAGCCTAAACCCTTAATAAACCCTCTGGTATCCTGCCAGTCTGAAGTTCTTTGTCATGGTCCTACATGTGTCTTCGCGAAACAACAAGGTCGCCCACGGAGCCATCTTTGGACATTGGTGGCCGGATTTTCAAGACGCTGGTCCTGGGAGAGGGAAAGGGTTGGGAGCAGTGCGTCAGAGAACCCTAAACCTAAACCCTAAGCCCTAAACCCTGGGGGCCAGCCCCGAAGAGCATGAAGTGAAGGCCTCTTCTCATGGCAACTCCCGAGAGTGGCCCCGTAAACCTCACGTCTAAGAGCAGCACAGCCTTGGATCCTATTCGCCCCAAAGCTGCTCAAGGATAGGGCTCGTGCGGGCAGCCTTCAATCACGGCTACCAGGCGCGTGGTCGCAGTTCGAATCGCAGCTTTGTGCTTAGAATTGCGGCAAATTCTATGAAGCCACTGGAGCTGTGGGGATGCTTTGACTACGTGACGTGGTACTGCGTCCCGTGAGGGCACCGAGAAATTGTGGCCTTGTAGAAAAAGCAGAACTTCCCGAAGTACAGCGTAGGGCATGAGAAGTAATCCCTTCCCCCTAGTACTAAATCTGTCCCCCCCCCTTCCTAATTCTGAAATTCGCCTGGGCCCGCAAAATATTTATACTTGGGGGGGGGGGGGGGGGTCTAAATCCTAAAACCTGAATTCCGAAACCTAATAATTAAACCCTCCAAGCCCTGAGCCCTGGATCCTAATCCTGTCAGCCTTCAGCCCTAAACCTTGAAACCCTAGTGGCTCAACTCAAGGGCGAAGGCCCTGAACCCCTCCCCCCCTAATTCTCAAACAGGTTTAGTATTGGGCTGGGTGCAGGCCGGGAAAAAATATTTAAAATTAGGGGGGGTTTTAGTATTAGGGGCATGAGAAGTACCCAGCCCGTCCTGAAGGTCCTTTCCGAGCTTTTCTTGACGAAGAAGGCCCCCGAAGGATCCCTTCTTTGCCCCTTCCTCCTTCGCCAGGCCTGGGGGGGGGGGGGACACGGAAACTTGTATCTGAGCATGGATAAACGGACGATCCTCCCAGCCTCCCTTGGCAGGACCACCCTACCATCGCCGAGCGTTATCAGCTGTACCGCGAGCAGCCTGCACCCTTCCTGGAGGCTTCGCAGATCTGGGGACATCAGCTGATAAACCCCCCCCTAGAGGCCCTTACCCGGCCGATTCAGAATTATGCCTCGGCATGCCCCCCGCCCAGGGAGTGGGACGCCCGGAGAGTGACGAGGATGCGAAGGGTATAATGCCATGGGTTAAGGATTTGAATGGCAATGGTTCGGCTTCGGCACTTGTCCGTTTTGATAGCCGCATCGTAAACCCTAAACCCTATAAACCCCCAAAACCCTAAACCCTGGGGCAACGATGGGCCTTCCGAGAGCCTCGGCCTACTGAACAGCTCGCTTCACGCCTGGGGCTAGCAAGATACACTTTTGCTGGTTAGCCCAGTGGTACCCTTTACAGTTTTTTTTGGGTTCTGGGTTCCCTTATAAAGTAACCAACCAAAAAAAGGGTGCCCTTGTTGTAATATGGTTGCTGAGCTACTGAGTTTTGCTTGGTATCACATGCGAGGCGTGGGTCTGCAGAATCCCCTTTGGTTTAGCCCCCTGAATCCTAAACCCTAAGCCCTACGAAACCTAGACCCCTAAGCCCTAAGAACCCAAACTCAAACCCAAAACCCCCCCAAACCCTAAGCGCTGAAAGCCCTAAGAATACCCTAAACTCCCTGAGCCTGAAACCCTAAACCCTATAAGCCCTAAGAACCCTAAACTCCCTCCATTGGAATCTCATGGACCCAGGCACCCTAAACCCTAAACCCAAAACCACCCACTTTTTCCACCCACACAGGAGGCACAGGAGCCGACGCCGAAGAAACGGCGCGGCGAAGAGGCGCCGACTGTGGATGTGCCGCTCACGGAACCGGCCTCTTCACTGCAGAGGGGGGTTTAGGGTTTAGGGTTTAGGGTTTAGGGTTTAGGGTTCAAGGGCCTTGGCTCAGAGGTTTCAAGGTTGCAAGAAGGGTTGCACGGTGCCAGGGCCCGGCAGGTAAACAGTCGCCACCCTAAACCCTAAACCCCGACTATGCCAAGGTTGGGGGATGATCGGTCCATGCTCACCCACTGTTCAAGGGAGTCATACTCGGACCCGAAGGATGTGCCCCCTAAGAGGCGCGCTGAATACACTTCGAGTATGGCCCATATATTCCCTTATAGAGGATCTTTCAACAGGGTCCCCAAACCCAAGGGTAGAACCTTGATGGGCCCAAAGTTGAGTCCCATGAACTGTAGGCCGTATACTGGTCTCACTTTGGAGCTGTGCAGAGATGCTGAGAGGTGCCGAGATGCTTGTAGGAGGATTGCAGCCACGATGTGATCTCGCTTATCTTGTAGAATCTTCTGGTAGCTTAGGGCGTAGGGTTTAGGGGCAAGGGGCTTAGTATTTAGGACCACCTAAACCCTAAACCCTACTTTGCCAGTCGAGACCACTGGGTATCGGAGATACGTAGGTAAGCAAGACGCAGCGTTGCAGAGCGATGCTGTGGATGCCCGGAGTCATTGAGGCCGAGCCTGTCCCACCGCTTCCTACAGAGGCCTTGGCGGGCAGTCTTGACTCGGAAGCCTTAACAAAACATGCACAAGGGCACTCTACACCGACATAGTAGCCACGCAAAACCCTAAACCCTAAACCGAAGAAAAAACAAAAAAAAACTGCTCTACATATTCATTAGATAGGATTCCCTGAATGAGGACCCCAATAAGGTACCCCTAATTTCGGAACCCCCCCCCATATTAGAGGAGTTGGGCAACGCTTTGGATTTCCTGGCGGAGACCGAGGAGAAGTGGCGGGCTGGGGTTCAGGCATAGTGTTTACCAGACTTTGAAATAGCCTTCCATGCGAAGGTGGAAGGCTTATAAGAATGTATATATATATATATATATAGATGTACATCTGTATATATACATCTCTCTCCCTATATATATATATATATATATTTTTTTTTTTTTCTAGTTTGTTAGCTCAGAGTCAAGGAATTTGGAGTTTAAGGCCCAGGTTCAAAAAAGGTGCAGGTGCAGGTTGGAGACGAGAGGGATTTCATCATGCCCGCCCCCCCTCCCTCACTATATCACCCAGCCCAGAAAATGCTCAGCAAGATTCGCTGAGGATGTGGAGGTTCACTTCAGTTCGCGGGGTGTGGCGGGGGTGCCTGAGGCCTTCCCATAGGTTTGGGAGGTTTTGAGTTCTTCCGACCTCCTCGTTCCCTAGTGGTCATGAACATCGCGTGCAGAACAACGTCGGTTCTTCTCACAGGAGGCGGAAAGCCTCGTGAGGTGCTCTGGGGGTGCAGTTCGGAGATCGTGGGGAGAGACGGGCAGGAGGTGACCGAGCTTGGTGGAGCCCTGGACTTCCTGGCTGCAGAGCTGCCAGGACTGCTACAGATGGGACTTTGGGTCGTTTTGGGTATTTAGGGTTTGGGGTTTTGGGTTTTGGTTGCGATTGTTCGGCCCAAGATATACTGTTGAAAGTCCTTCCGCCCTTCCATCTTGCCTCTTTTTGAATTCACGTCTGACACTAGCCCACTTCATGACTTGCTGCGTCGCCTGGCACTGCTGCTATACCAACTAAACTAGACTTGCTACGAGATGGGTAGCGCCTGCAAGCTGAAGAGCTCCGGAGCTTTGCCAGATGCTGGCGACGTGGAGATGGAAGACGAGGACGACGAAGCATACGATCCCCTTTCTGCACCTCGGCACGGTAGGGGTGGATGCACCATAACAACCCAGGCGTGACTCATGGGATTTCTGTGGTCCCTTCACCAAGGTCACTGACGCTCATGCCAACATATGCCCACTGTCTTGAGACATCGCTTCATGTCCCTTACCTGGGTGATTACTTACATTACGAAGCTACAAGGGCGCTTCTGATGGTCTTTCGGCTCAGCCTGGTCTAAGTTTTACGATAGACAGACTTGGCATTAGCGGGCTGAGGGCAGTCCGGGAACTGTGCAGGTGCTGCCCGAGGTCTTCGACACGGATGAGCCCGCGGGCGACAAAGATGTGCCTTGTGCGAAGAGTCGATGCCTTTTGTTGCAGGGAGGCCCTACTGTAATGTCCGCGGGCTGGATACGTCTTACCATACTTTCATGAAAGTGTCTGTCTTGATCTGCTGTGGAAGAATCGACGATGAGAACACCATGAGCGGTTGGCTGCTTGCCTTTGCTCGTCCTACTCATCACAATTCGCACCACCCCATGCCCGTTTGAAACCCAGAGCCTCCTGACTTCGTGATGGTATACTGCAACTAGCAACCCCTATCTACCTTCGCCCGCGTCAGCTTCTCAAATAGAGCCCCGCTAGGCGCTCGCCGCTGCTGCGCAACTGCTGGACGTTGACCCCCAGGCACACGCTCGTGGCGCTGTGATTTTATTGGCTCTTTGGTTCGAAGTATTGCATCTCATGTGAGGCTTGTGCTGGGGGTCGGTGAGCGTGCCAGTGCTGTCAGTGGTTGACGCCTCTTTTCCTGTTCTAGACGATGTCCTGGCTTGACAGCCAGGTCCTGGCTGACAGGACAAGTAGTGGCACTGGTATCCATCTGCTAGCTTAAGTACATCCAGTCGATCCAACCTACAACCTTAGCACCTGTTAGTTCGGGCTTCAGCCCCTCGGTACACCATTGAACCGATTGCATGCCCAAACCTGAGTGCACAGGCCCAAATACTCAAGGCCCCAAAACTCAGAGGCTTCGAAAAGGCTCCAACCCCAGAGCCCCCCTTAAACCCTAAACCCTAAACCCTAAACCCTAAAAACCCTAAACCGTGACCCATCCAGATTCTGGCCGAAGAGCAGCGCCTACTGCAGGAGAGCTCTCTGCGTCGGGGTTTGGGGTTGGAGATTTGCGCCGCGGATTCTTGGGGAGTACACGGGGTTGGCCTTTTCCTCTTCAAGAGCAGCTCGGTTGGATTCGTGGGGCCTAGATGCCTTTGAGGTTCGGAGCCGGCTGTGCTCTTTAGGTTAGGGTTCAGGGTTTAGGGTTTAGGGTTTAGGGTTTAGGGTTTAGGGTTTAGGGTTTAGGGTTTAGGGTTTAGGGTTCAGGGTTCAGGGTTCAGGGTTTAGGGTTACACGGTGTCAGTCCAAAGCCCAAAGCTCGCCTGTATATGGATGGAACGCACAGGTTCAAAAGGGGACCTTTTTTTTTTGTTTCCCCTTATTAGGGTTTAAGAGGATCCTATGTCGGGACTATTTTTTTATTTTCCTTATTAGGGTTTAAGAGGATCCTATTTCAGGAATATTTTTTCAGAGGGGTGTGTTAACGGCCACCCTGGTCCAGAACAGCGGCCACCTGAGTCCCCGCAGGAGCAAATCCAGCTTCTGGAAGCTGCAGAAGCAGCGCCTCGGCAGGGAGTTCCCCCGTGAAGCTGGTCTCTGAGAAGTTGCCTTGGTGTTTTCGATGTCGTGTGGCCCTAAACCCTAAACCCTAAACCCTAAACCCTAAACCCTAAACCCTAAACCCTAAACCCTAAACCCTAAGTAGGGTTTGCGGAAAGTGGAAGGTGCAGGAGCAGATCCGGCTCTTGGAGGCGGCTGAAGCAGACACCTAGGCAGCAGTTTAGGGTTTAGGGTTTAGGGTTTAGGGTTTAGGGTTTAGGGTTTAGGGTTTAGGGTTTAGGGTTTATGGCAGTCAGCTTTCATCCCTAGACGGTTGTTGTGGAGCTCCATGCTCCCTTCGGTATTCCGTGGTGTCGAGGATTAGGGGTTTGGGGTTTAGGGTTGAGGGTTTAGGGGTTTCACTCGGAAGAAGGTCAAGAATTGTCTCAACGATGCTTCGCAAGTAAGAATCTGCGAGCAAGGAGCTGGACAAGGAGGAACAAGAGGGAGACGGGTATGCTGATCCGGAGGAAAGTGACGTTTCGGTTTAGGGAGCATGTACAGACATGGCCCCCGAAAAGTGCGCACCGTATCACTGCATTACCGAAACCCCCCACCCAAAAACCAGGTCCCAGACAGAAGAATGATGTGAAAACACCACACCTCACATGCAGTCCAAACGATGAGAGTGCTGATGCTGCCGACAATTTGAGCAGCAAATTGCAGCAGCAAAAAAGGAGCAGGGGTGCATTGCTTTCGCCACTCCAAAGCCCAAAGCATCAGGCTTCTATACCACTGTCCTTTCTGCGCAGCGTACGTCAGCGAAGTTGGATTTCTGCTTGGCATCGCCGGGGCAGCGCTGTGTTCCGATTGCCAAGTTCGCGGATCATTCCCATACATTGACAGGAGGCAGCTGAGACGGCAGCGCAGGCTGCAACTCAGGCTGTGCAAGTTCAGCACAAAGAACCATTGAAGTTGCTGGTTCATTCATGCCGGACATGGACAGCCATGATGGGCTATCTTTTTTGCTTTGCATGAGCACAGCAGGCGAGTGTGCGACCTACCTGAATAGGCAGGCGTGCAGTCAGAAGGCAAAGGCAACCCAGATTTCGTTCTGTGACATCCCAAACGTCTTGCAAACCTTCCCCCAAGCATACAGGTGCCTCGCATTCTTGTGGCCGCCAGGCGAGTGACTCCTCGCTTCTGGCGCACGTCCGCTCTTCCAAGAGGACCGCGCTCCTGTGTTTTGCAAGTTGTGACAAGAGATATGTATCACGCCGAGAGTAGGAGCCAAGGAGCTCCAGATTCAAGTTTTTTTTTGAGATCAATCGAGGTTGCTAGCGTATCCGGTTTCCGTGCTTGGAAGGCCCAGTGCAGTTCACCGGCAGGATTGCCCCCATTCTTCTCTTTCCAAGCCAGACTGGTGAGGTGCCATTCTCGCATTTGGCCACCATCCCGTTGTATAGCCTTGAGACTCTATGACGAATCTGCAACACCAAGTATCGCTGGATCGAGGAATCGAGGTGTTCTTAAAACAGGTAGACTTGCCGAAGCACTTTAAAAGCCCAGCCACCGGTGCAAGACATGGAAGATGCACGTTGCGCACTGCACGCTTTGCTACAGCCCTGCAGAGTTTCATGATGGCTTGGAACCATGATTTGCAAACCATGCAAGCTCTTACGCCTGCAGAGAATAGGCTTTCAATATTGGACTTTTGCAGCTCAGGTTCCTGTGGCAGCCAGGATCCCAGAGCAAGGTCGCTAGTAGGTGCAACAGTCTACAAGTGGTGCATTCGGCCACCTGACCCCGAAGAGCCTGAAAGCAGACAAGAACGCAAACTTTTGCCCAGGGAAATTGCACGATCGTGACCGTCCCAGTGACGACGGTCATCTTTCAGCAAGACGGGTTAATCCTCACGAGATGGTTCAAGCCTCCAGTAACATGTCGAGTTACGCCTCGCCCTGCGGACGGCCACGATCGTCGACACTGCGTTCAGTGTTGATCCGAAGCATCAAGCGACAAATGTCTCGAAGATCATGGCCCCGTCTGTATGGTTCTCGACCGTGTCGTAGCATTGCTCAAAATTTCAAGCAAGCATCCCGGGCAGAAGCTGCATGCGAGAATCCCTTCATGCACGCACTGCCTGGAGAATTTCGAGTCTCTCTCTCAGTGTTCTTTTTCCGTTTATTCGACTTAATAGAGAGTCATTGAGACAGCTTCCAGATTGCAGATCTTCGCAAAAACCACACCAAATTAATCACAGACGCAATTCCGAATGACATAACAACTGTTTGCTTGAGAACCCCCCCCCCCCTCCCAAAGATGAGAAGAAAACAATCCCTCCCCTTGATCGAACGTAACTGACACCTACAGGCAGCCATTGCCGCCTTCGCCCTCCGCGAGGCAGCGGCCAAACTCTGGCCACAGTGCTCCGCCTGCCGCGCTGCCGCCATCCTTGGACTGTTTTGGCTCTTAGGGTTCAGGGTTTAGGGTTTAGGGTTTAGGTTTTATAGGGTTTAGGGTTTAGATTGTTTTAGTTTCTAGGGTTCAGGGTTTGGGGTCTGCATTGTCATCGTGCCAGCTGACGTACAGAGTCTGGGTTCAAAAGGGTTTAGGGTTTAGGGTTGGGGGGGGGGGGGGGGGTGGACAATGAAGGTTTCCGATTGGGATGTTCCCCCTTCTAGTAGCAGTCCTTAATAGAGATTATCGTGCCCCCGATTCGAATCCCTATGTAAAGGGCTGTTAGTATAAGGGGGAACATCTGGACCATCGTGCAGAACTGTCAAAAGCATGTTGTGGCATCTCTCGACACTCAGGGTTCATGCCGAAGGTGTCCTCCATCTCGGGGCTTGTTAAAGCTTGTTTAGGGTCTAGGGTTTAGGGTTTAGGGTTTCGGGTTTAGGGTTTAGGGTTTAGGGTTTAGGGGCCGAGTGGATACCCAGATAGAGGCTCGAAGACCATGGCCTCCGTCCCCCAAGTCATACATAGTCGCAATATCACGACTGTACGAATGAGTCGTACCACCATCAAGAAAAATAGCCCCGAGAAGAACAACTTGGACAATCATCATGTCTTCCCAAAGAGCCCAATATTGCTTAACTAAGGAATATTCCTTAAATCATATAGGGATCCTTAATATGATTTAAGGTATATTCCTTAATTAAGCAATATTGGGCTCTTTGGGTTCTCTCTCCCTGCCAGTGCGACTTCAGAGCTGCACGCTGCATTTGCCTCAGCTCCGCGAAGAGCTGCTGCCAGCAGCCGGGGCCCCAGATGAAAAAAGGGGCAGAAGAGCTAACTTTTGCGATTGTGGGGTTGGGGTTCGCAAAGTTCTGAATTCTCAAGGAGAACCCTGGAAAAGGGGATGGCCATGCACGTGCACCGTGCACATCACAACATCTTGGCGGCAGTAGAAAGCAGTAATGTATACAAGCATCCCACTTTCCGAGCCCCTAGTGCACGCTGCTTTGTCCTAAACCCTGAACCCTGGACCCTAACCCCTAAACCCTAAACCCTAAACCCAGGCAGTTCCGCTTGGAAGCTGTCGTCTCCAACTCTGGGCTGGTTTCGAGCGGCTGCGCAGCGAAGAGGAGCCAGACTTGTTGGAGTAAGCTTACCAGCTGGTAAAGCCAGAATTCTCAGATCAACCCCTAAACCCTAAACCCTAAGACCCTGCAATTCTTGAAGCTCCTGCCAGGACCTTCGGGGCTACCTCGATCCTCTGCGCGGTCGGGTTGACCTGGTGGCAAAGGCGGCCACTTTTGCTTCAGGATTTTCTCCTATATTAACATACATATATTATATTATATTGTATTATATTATATTATATTATATGATATTTATATTTATATTTATATTTATATGTATATTTATATTTATATTTATTCATTTATGTACCCACACATTATATATTTATATATATGTATGTATATGCATTTGTATGTGTAGTTACATTTGTATTTACATTTATATTTACATTTATATTTACATTTATATTTACATTTACATTTATATTTATATATAGATTTATATAGATTTTCGATTTATCAAGGTGTAAGTCATCTGGTCAAGTGAAAAACTAAACGAGGTAGCTCCCTCAGGAAACTGGACGCAACCCTCAATCCTAAACCCTGAACCCTAAGCTCTAAACCCTAAACCCTAAACCCTAAACCCTAAACCCTAAACCCTAAACCCTAAACCCTGCTACGCGGGTGCCAAAAACAACCCTAAAACCCTAAAAGCCCGAGATTCGGGGGATGTTGCAGGTGGACCCCAAGAGCCCGGAGTGCCAAGGAACTGAGTGCCGAGCTTGGTGTGCTGTTGGGGTAGGGATTAGGGTTTAGGGTTTAGGGTTTGGGGTTTAGGGTTTAGGGTTTAGGGCTTAGGGCTTAGGGTTTAGGGTTTAGGGTTTAGGCGCAGCAGATCAGGAAGAAGAAGAAGCCAGGGTTGCGCCTCCTGGTGCCTTCTCAAAACTTCCTTGAGCAACTAGGACTTGGAAGTGTGTGTGTGTAGAGAGTTGGAACATGCTGGGACCCTCAGGATACTCAGGGTCTCCATGTCTCGCGCCATGTCTCGTGCTCAAGTTGCTCAAGACTTCCAAACACAGATGCATAGCTGTAGCCGTTCTTGGCCCGAGCACTTGCTGTACGTGTGCAGTCCCGCTCGAGTGCCGAGAAGACGCAATGAAGTTCGTTTTCGCCCCTTACCTGCAGCTCTGTGACATGAGCTACTCTTTGCTTAAGAGTTCCCAAAAGATATAAACATACAAATCCCTATATTGCCCTTATAAGGAAGAATCATTTATGTTTTGAGCTATCCTGAAGCCATTGGAACTAAAATTTGCCAACCTAGGAGCTTCCAGCAGAAGAAAGCTGAAAGGGAAGATTCACCATGGACAGGTGAGGGATTACCGGAATGTCAAATTTAAAGTGTTCCACTTCGGGAACGCCTCATAAGGTTCTGCTGACCCTCGCCTCCCTTGCGGATGGAAGCCGCCTGAAGAGGCCGAAGAATAAAACTGCCAATTTCTTGGGATGTTGTTGCCCTGACTTAGGCTGGGGAACCCCAATTTTGCCCCCGAAAAGTACATGCACAGAATAGGATGTCAGCCCCACAGCATGAATTTTTCCTCATTTGCTGAGGTCCAGCGCTTTGCGCGTGAAACCTGCGGGGCCCTTGCTTGGGGACTTGGCGGCTGCTTGGTGGCACTCAGGACCGTGGCTTCACTCCTATGTGCGCAAGTGGCAACATCATGATCAGGAGACCTTCCGTAGCATCGTAGGAGGGCTAGCAGCTGGAATTTGTTGAGGGTGGGCGGAAAGGTTGAGCTGTCTGTGCCATGATGCCATGTGCAAACTGTGCGCAGATGACAGCCGATGAGCCCGACGACAAGACGAAGAAGGACATCGCAAACGACTCAAAGGACGCCTTTGTGAGTCCACTTCAGTAGAAGTAGCATACTGAGGAGTAGGCGGTTACTCAGAGTGTGCGTGAGTGCTATGCGGCTTTTTGGTAGCTTGTATATATAGGTTAGGACTGGACTCTTCTCTTCTTTAAACTTCGCACGGTGTAGTGCAGCAGATCCTTCATCAAGATGTCGGCTCGCGCAGGCGTCAAAGGAGACAACGCCTGACAAAGCTGAGCCCGCGGACAAGGAGACGGTGACTGCCGGCAAGGAGTCCGCCGCGAAGGAGGAGACATCTGCCCCAGCCAAGGCCAGCACTGCGGCAGAGAAGAAAGCCGCCAAGACACAAAAGGAAAGCACAAAGACAGATGCAGCAGCTGAGGACAACGAGAAAACAAAGGCAACCGACAAAAACTCAGAAGCAGCCAAAGAGAAGGAGTCGGCAAAAGAGAAAGCCCAGACAAAGAAGGTAGAACCAGCCAAAGAGAAGGAAGTGAGCAAAGCCAGCTCCGACGCCACGAAGGAGAAGGCCGACGCAAAGAAGGACGAGCCGGACTCGGCAAAAGAGAAAGCCGAGGTGGCCAAGAAGAAAGCCGAAGCGACCAAGGAAGAACCGGACGCAACCAAGAAGACCTCGGATGCCGCGACGAATGAGAAGGCCAGCAAGGCCGCGGTCGACAACACCACCGCGAAGAGCAGCACGGCCGAGTCGAAGAAGGAGGGCAGCGGCAGCGACTTGGCTGGTGGATCTTGCCCTCAACTGTTTGGACTCGCAAGCCCCAAACACAAGTCCTTGTTTCCTTTGCAAGACTCTCGTCAGAAGAGGAAGCACGGATAAGCGATTGAGTGATGGTCATATAATGAGTAATATGATGGAATCCACACCATTCAGGCGAAGGCGGGAAGTCCGCAGAGGCCGCACCCACGACTAGCTGGGGCCCTGGCAGTCATGTTGCCTCATCCGGGAAAGGTAGAGACCCCAGTCGCCCGAGTCACGAAACGAAGTGCGGCGTAGCCACTGAAGGTGCCACTATGGGCACAAAGCGGGCTTTGCACATTGGGGCTTTGGCGCTGTAATTTCATGCTACAAATATATGCTTTTCTTCGTGGCTCAGACAACGACCTTCTGCAGCGATCAGGGTTCTGATGTTTGGGCCCTTGATTTGTATAGGGTATATAGTATATAAGGCGCATAAGGGGTACCCTTTTAAGGGCCCATACTAAGGGACCATGTAACCACCCTTAGATGGCATAGCCAGAGTGCGGAGAGTCCTCACCTGCTCTGCAAGTTTGGGCTGCGCGCTGCAGGCACCACACTCTCGGTCTTCGACGCCCCGAAGGTCCAGCAGGCCTGTGGCTGAAACAAGCGCTCGTTTCCTAACAGATTCACGAGAACATGAACTTAGATGAGGTCAATGATGACCGCCCGAAATGCGCCAATCAGATTCGAAGCATCCCAGCGTGAACTGCGAAGCAGCTGACTCCCTTAGAACCAACCGAATGGATTGCTTGCGTAGAGGGAGTTTGAATGGGGCAATAATTGCCGAACCAAAATGTGGGCACCGAAGACATTAGAACCTACGTTGCTTGATTCCTGTAGTCTGGTTTTTGTTTCCTGTAGTCTCGTTTTTGGGTTCAAAAAAACAAGTTTGAAACAACTTGTTTTGAACATAAGACATAAAAATCTGACATAAAAAATGATTTGGAGGGGGGGGGGGCGGGGCGGCCGTAAAATTGACACAGACACACACACACACACACAAATTTGCTTTAACAAATTCTGCCCAGGAGAAAACAGGGGAACTATGTTTCTTTTCAGAGATGCAAACCACTCCCACATGTGAATCGAGATTGTAGAAGTAATTTTTACTTCTGGTTTCAGAGATGGCATCACATGTGGTAGTGGGTTGCATGTTTGAAAAGGAACTACAAGTGCAGGTTTCGTGCCTTGGAGTTTTGGGGTGCATTTGAAGGTTTGGGGGGCCTTTTGAGGTTTCGAAAATGCACTGCAACCTCCGTATGTGATCTAAGCTATGATATAAATAATTAGGCCTAGGCGAATCACATACGGAGCAGTGTGCATTTTTTGAAATGTAAAGTAAAGTATTCCCCTAATGCTATACTACCCTAAACCCTGTTCATAAATACCGACAGCAAACCCAAAATCCTCGAACTGCTTACCCCCACAACTAAACCCTAATTAAACCCTTCAAACCCTAAACCGCAAGCCCAGATGGTGCAGCGCTGCTCCTGGCAACATTGGGCATTGGGGTTTAGGGTTGATTAGGGCTTAGGTTTTGGGCTTCAGGCGAGGGTTCATGGTGCATGGCCACTGTTCAAGTGGTGCACTGCATGGCCGCTGTTCAAGTGGCACACATTGCACGTCATGGCCACTGTTCAAGTGGTGCACATTACATGTCATGGCCGCTGTTCAAGTGGCATATTACATGTCATGGCCACTGCTCAAGTGGCACACAGCATTTGTAGATAACTGGTTCGTGCAGCTTTGAAGCATTGTATTGTTCATGACAACACAAGCAACAACTAAGTCTCAAAACACACATAGGTGAAAGAAATGCAGAATATAGTCGCCCGAAGCCATAAGACACACCACTTCCAAAACCCTTACCATCAAAACCTGAACTCAGAACTCGGAACTCAGACTCTGCAAACATGCCAGCTCCTGTGGCGCAATGCTCCTGGTCTTGGCCTCAGGCAGGCAATGCATTCATCATCTTGCAAGGAGGAAGGCTTGGTTGACAGGCAGGCAAGTCATGCAAGACACCTTTTTTCGTTGCACCAGATCTGGAATCTGGAATCTGAAATCTGCTCTATGGCTTCTCTTTCTTCCTCCTCTTCTTCTTGCCCTGCCCCGCCTGGCCAGGCAATGCCGTGTAGAACATGCATGTCAATGTGGAGAAGCTGCTAAAACTGCCCTGGCCTCGGTTGCATCTGATTTTGTAGCTTTCTCCAAGGCATCCTGCCAGACGGGGTCTGCTGGAGGGGGGGGGGGGAGGTGGGGAACGAAGGGGGAGGGTGGGGGGGGAGACGAGTGGAGATCGGCCTCTAACTCGTTGATTCGAAGCTGCAGGTTCTCGGAACGTTCTTTCTCGTCCTCACGAAACTGCTACTGTGGAGAAAGTAATGCTGATTGTTTTTGTAAGTCTTCGGGGTAGGCAAGGAAGGCAAGCATATTATGAAACATATATCATGTCATATATATATATGTATCATGCATGTTGTGTGAGTCCTTCAGCATGTCCTTCACTATCTTGGCTTGACGTTCTGCTTCTTCTCGAGCTGCCACTGCTTCTTTGAGCTGTTGATTGAGTGCCCGGTCCGATGCCACAAACTGTTGCTCTTGTACTACGAACTTCTGGTTGGCATCTTTCCACTTTCGATTGTCCTCCACAAGCTCCTTGTTGTACCTGATATTAAGAGCGAGCTCATCCTTTACCTTTGCCAGTTCGTCCTCCTGTTCCTTCTCGGCATCTACCTTGTCCAGCTCCACCTGCAACTTGAAGTTCTCCATCTCAAGCTCGTGTTGCTTCTTGGCTTGCTGCAGTTCAAGCCGGTGCCGTTCCTTTGCCTCGGCGAGGTCCTGGTGAAACTTTTCCTCCGCTCTGAATTTCTCTTGGCGGCGCAAATAGGAGGCATCCCGTGCCTTTGCAGCTGGCTGCGGTGGTGGGGGCGGCTTCCATTGTGCTGGGCTTGCCTTTGGCATTGTTCCAGCATCTTGCGGCGGTGGTGGTGGTGGGGGCGGCGGCGGTGGAGGGGCCGGGGCCCCGGGAGGAAGACCACTCATGGCAAGGCGTCCTCGACTCTGAGTCAGGACTCTGAGTCAGGACTCTGAACTCTGGTACTATCATGTGAGGCATGCTAACAGTCTCAGGGATGTTTGTACACAAGCTTTCATAGACAAGTTATGTGTCAAGCATGTACTATTCGTGAGTTTCCTGCACTCCTGCAAAGCCACTGCGAATAGACAATGTCTTGGCAAGCCATGCTCTTTGATCTGTGTGCATTTTGCCTGCAAAACACAGATCGCAACTGGTTGCGATCTGTGTTTTCCGAAGCAAATTCATATATAGTCAGTGAATGTGCTTCATACCAGGGGGTGGGGGGTCGTGAGTGCCAAACTGTTTCAAAAAAGACTTTAGGGTTTAGGGTCAGTGGGTGTATCAGGGTGTAAGGGATTAAGGGTTCAGGGTTTAGGCTGGGGGCATTTAGGGTCTAGTGCTCGTAGTAGTAGTAGTAGTAGTAGTAGTAGTAGTAGTAGTAGTAGTAGTAGTAGTAGTAGTAGTAGTAGTAGTAGTAGTAGTAGTAGGAGCAGAACACTTAGCAGTGTGTGGCCATATATGTATAAATTTAAACCTATGCTTAATTATTATTATTCAACTTGTTTTACGGATCTTAAAAGGCTGTTAAGATCCGCAAAACAAATTGAATAATAACTATTATGAATTTTACAATAAATTTATAGAGATCTATACATATATGGCCACACACACACTCAGATACATGTTTTATATACATATGTACATTTATACATTTATACATATAAACATATAAACGCACATACATATATACATATAAAATATATACAGATATACATATGTACATGTCTACATAGGTTCTATAAATATATACATATGTGTACAATTTAGAGTTGCCAGTGGGTTTAGGGTTCAAGGGTAAAAGGGTAATTTCCAACCCAAAGTCACACTAAACAGCACCCTGAACTGAGGGCTCCGAGTTCAGAGTCCCGAGTCCCCGGCAGCTTCCCGCGCTGGTCAATGAAGTCCGATGGTCTGGGCCTTAGGCAATGAGTTCTGGACTCTGGGTTGTTAGTCTGCAACAGAGAGCACACATCTGGATTTTGTGATCCTAGACCGTGGTTTTGACAGGCTACACATGAGATAGCTCCATTTTTTGGCTTGTGCAGTCATGTCCCCTCGTACTAATTAGAACAGCGACAGCCTCTCTGTAAGACTCCACTGCGATCTTGAATTGTTAAAGAAGCTGCTCGAAGGCTCACGGTTCGATCTGGTCTCTTGGCTCGGGCCTCATGGTGTCGTTCTCTTCCAGGAATCGGGCCCAGCTTCTCAGGCATTGTTTGAACTTGGCGAAGTCTTTCTCCCAAGTTCGTTTTGGCAATTTCATGTAGTCCTGAGGAGGTCTGGGCAATGGAAGGGGTGGTTTGTCATCTTGGCCTTCCAAGAATTTCTCCACATCTAGGAACTCCTGGGTACGAAGGAGTGTACTCAGGACTCGGGTCCTCTTGAATCTTGTCATCAAGTGGCTGGTTTGGCATTCAGGCTCTTCTGGATGAATGTTTTCCTTGTCTGGAAAGTTGGTGTGGGTTGCCATGAGGTCCACAATCTCATCTTGCACCATCAGCTTCAAGTTTGGGGGCATGAGCTCGTCATGCTGTTCCTGTCCTTGCTGCAGTTTGTGCTCCAACTCATTGCTCGCCTTCATTTCCACTTCCAACCCCTGTAGTAGGGAGTGCCAACTAGAAGCATCTGTTGGTGTAGCCAATGTTGTTGCTGCCACTGGGGGTGGGGGCGGAATCCACCCCACTGAGACCTTCATGGGTATTGACTTCTTGAAACAGTCTGCTTCTATGGGCCTGGACACCTTGGAAGAAGCTCGGGGCGGGTGGAGTCCTGGCGGCAGCATCATGGCTTTCCAGACAAAACTCTGGACACTCATGAACTCTGGACTCTGGAGTCTGATGTCACACATGGTCCAATGGTATGTTTTGCACGACTAGGCTGTGTATACCCATGTGCAACGATATTGAATTTAACGGTGTTTGTTTCCACAACTGTGAGCCACCTGTGGAACCAGTTCGAGCAGCATGCAATGTCTGGGCACACCCACACTTATGCACCGACTCAGGTCTGGGCTGGGCTGGACACCGCAATGTCGCATCCTTGGCGACTTCAACCTTTTGGATTTGTGTGTCCATTCCAACGTGGAATACTGGAAAAATACAGAACGCACCCGGTTGCGTTCTGTATTTTTCTAGTATTCCACGTTGGAAATTAGGGTTTAGGGTTTAGGGTTTAGGGTTTAGGGTTCAAAGGTTTCGGGTTTAGGTTTAAGGGGGTCCATTCCAATATGGAATACTAGCAAAATACAGATTGCAACCAGTTGCATTCTGTATTTTTCTAGTATTCCACATTGGAATACAGGGTTTAGGGTTTGGGGTTTGGGGTTTAGGGTGCAGGGTTTCGGGTTTCCTTTAGGGTTTAGGTTTAAATTTCAACCTGGAATACTAGAAAAATACAGAACGCAACTGGTTGCAATCTGTATTTCCCTAGTATTCCACGTTGGAATGGATCCCCTTAAACCCAAACCCTAAACCTTTAAACCCTAAACCTTTAAACCCTAAACCTTTAAACCCTAAACCTTTAAACCCTAAACCCTAAATTCCAATGTGGAATACTAGAAAAATACAGAACGCAACCGGTTGCATTCTGTATTTTTCTAGTATTCCACATTGGAATGGACCTGACACCAATGACCGAGCTAAGGCCCATGGATCGACGCCTCGATGTCGGCGATGTCGATCTCATGTCCGGGCCTGGGCACTTCTGTCTGGAAATGGGGGTGGGGTGTCTGGAATTGGGGGGGGCGTCTGGAAAACCTAGGTTTTCCAGACACAGGGTCAGGGTTTTTTCAGCAGCAGTGCACAGGGTTTTTCAGCAGCAGTGTGCATTTTCGATTGCCATGCAGTTTCGCAGTGCAGAACCTCGTAGCATTTTGGCCTGCAGCCTCCTGAGCCCTGAGTCCTTGAGTCCCGGAGTGCTGTAGCGTTTGACAGATGGGGAATCCGACGTCCAAGTATGTTGTGGCCTTGCAGCATGGCAGCACGACGACCTCGTATCAGCGGGCAGAAGCATTGCTGGTTGTGAACATGGAAGGGGCGTGGCACGCAATCGGCATCATGAAGGGTGATCAGTGCCGTCCTGATACAGTTGATCTGCCATGGTCACTGACAGGCAGGAGTCGTAGGTATTCA